CAACCTACCAGGTGCCAATCTTTCATAGACCTAGATTTCAAACTGCCTGGCTTCATCTTAACTACACTGGATCTTCGTTTCTTTATTTCAATCTCTCAATCATCAATCTTTAGACTATTTCTCCAGATAGCTCTTGGCCTAAGTCCTTCTATTTTAATATGCAGGCTTTGATTTCTCTTGGTCTTGGACCTAGGCCTAGCTTCCTATTGAATGCTCTTTATCCCCTTCTCCCTACCTCAGTGATTCTATAGTAAAAACCCTTTTTTCTTTCACTCAGCCTTTGGTGAAGACCTTTTTGTATATTGCTAAAATATAGCTTCCCTCTTTGGCACATTTAGATAATACCCAAAGTCATAGTGATTGGGCATATGACCCTAATACTTGATGTGAGCAATCAGGGAGAGGTTTGTTAGAGGCACTTGTAGAGCTGCAATGAAGAAAAAAGAGATTAAGAATGCCCTGAGAAAACAAAATCAAAAAGAATACAGCAAGATGCCTAAGTACATACAAAGAGAAAAAATAATGATTTTACAGTAAATTCTAAAGAATTCTACTTTGGAAAGAAGCCATCAGGGCTGCACAGGGAAGGGAACAATATATATCCTAGTAAGAGGTTCTGTTCAGAAGCAGTTGCCTTTCAGCTTTCCCAAGTAGAATCTATAGCTGCCTCCTTCCCCCTACTATAGACCATTCTGGGCATAGAACAGATAAGATGACATATGGTTAGAGAAAGGGAGTTTGTCCAGAGTGTATGCTCCCAAGAAGTGGGGGGAAGCCATGATGATAATCAAACCCAAATAATGGCTAATCATTCCCATGAGACAAGAAAAATTTTTATAAAAGCTAAAATGCTCATTTCCATATCCATCAGCAGGGTCAGAAGGGTACAGGGCCCATCACTCAGTTACTAACCAACCTACAGACCAATGGAGAAAAAGAGTTCAACACAAAAGGACTTATAGGCTTTAAGTTAACACACAAAACCTCTGTTCATTCTCATCTGTAGCTGCACTTTTCAATTCATGGAAGATTAGGTTTTTATACAATTCTAGGAGTATCTATAAAGATAACATGATAGGCAACAGAGGACCATTATCTATAGCCTGTCTGTCAAAGCACTGACATCCATAATACCTTCAACCACTGGTTTTCAAATAGCGTATCTATAGCCTAAAAGAGAATCTGAAATAGTCAAGAGTGCTCTTCTACAAAGTACATAGAGGGGTAGTGTATTATTTGAAAAGTTATAGTTCTAAACATTTATTTACTGGGTAACTTAATCATTTAACAACAGCTACTACCACCAGTCTTTTATGGAACGTGACTCTGCCTCTGCCAGCTACCTGTTTACAGCACTAAACGAGACAGATGTGGTCCCTATTCTCAACGAGTTTATAATCTAATAGTATTCATCACGAAAAACACATTCCCTTGGCCCTCCCATGGCTGGCTCCTCACCCTTCAGGTCTCATCTCAGGTGTCATCTCCACACAGAAGCCTTCATTACCAACACTTTCCACGGGAGCTCCCCCTTTTTTTGTCAGGCTCCATCAAATCATTCTTCAAGTACCTACCATAATCTGGAATCATCTTGTGTGGACTTGTTTATTTATTCATATCTCTCTTTCTACTAGCTTCATTAACAGAGGACTTGTGTTCTCTACTATATTCCCAGTGCCTTGATCAGTAAATATTTGCTACATGTTGAATTAAAGAAGACAGAAAATATAGTTAAGGTTTTCACTGTTTTATTCAAAAGACTAGGATACAGATTAGTCATTAAGGCGAGTAATGAGAGAGATGGATCCAGACTCTTTCAAAGAATAAAATTAAGGGTTCTAAATATTTTCCTATTGTCCATGGCAGCCCTTAGGGTCTGTAAATATGTTGAGTATGTGAAATCCCCAACAAAAGTGGCACGACAACAAATTCCACAGATGTCAAGACCCAGGAGTTTTATCTGTTGGCAAAAAACACCCCAAAATGGTTCTTATGGGTTGGATTGTGTCCCCTGCCGTCATTCATATACTAAAGCCCAAACCCTAGAAGCACAGAATGTGACCTCATTTGGGGTTGAGGTCTTCACAGAGGTAATCAAATTTAAATGAGATCATTAGGGTGGGACCTAATTCAATATGACTGGTATCCTTCTTATAAGGTTAGGAGGAATGAGGAGTGATTGCTAATGGGTACAGGTTTCTTTGAAGGGGATGTGAAATATTCTCCAATTAGATAGTGATGATGGTTTCACAACTCTAAAATATACTAAAACCAACAGAAGTCGTGCACTTTTAAAAGATAAATTTAAAAGGTAAATTTTATGGTATGTGAATTACACCTCAATAAAGCTATTATTTAAGAAAAAGAATACCAGCCCTGGATGCCACAGCAATAAATGACATTTATGTAAAAACTTCTGACAAAAGTATCACAGAAATATTGTACATTTTAAAGACCATACACTTCATGCTATAAAAACATTATATACACTGTGATAAAAGTATGGCCTTCTACTAACTCTGCTGGTTGCTACCTTGTCCTAGGAGAATCGTATTCCCTTCAAAGTACTTAACTTCTCCAGTTCCTGAATACTCAGTTAATAAAACGATAATAAAATGCAATCTAAACTTGCTGCTAACAGAAACCCCAGGGGCTTGTCCTGCTTAAAAAAAGGAAAGGAAAAAAAGCTACAAAACTCACCAAGGGCCTATATTCAAGGCCAGAGAGGATAACAAGAATCTAGATCTAGTGGAAACATTATCCTCCTACATTCTTTTGGGATTAGTTTATCACAGTTTTCTATAGCGAAATTAACCAAGTAAACTATAAAGATATTGCTTTAATAAAATAACCATCAACACTGAAACAAATCTCTTCATGTGTTGCTTAATATTATCTCATTTTCATTTTAATAGTACTTGTATTGAGGCATAAATGTTTATACTCATTTTAAAGAAAAGAAAACTGAGGAACAGAGTCACCCAGTCAGAGAAAAAGAGTCAATTCCAAGCTTTATGTGATTTTGCTATGCCACGTTAAGTCCTGCTTTTTCCCTTCATAGGTCTGGGGTAACCTGCCTTTCACAGCACTGAGTTCACTTTTCTTTTTTTTTTTAAAGAGATAGAGTCTCACTTTGTCACCCTAGGTAGAGTGCTATGGCGTCACAGCTCATAGCAACCTCCAGCTCTTGGGCTTGGGCGATTCTCTTGCCTTAACCTCCGGAGTAGCTAGGACTACAGGTGCCTGCCACAACACCTGTTTTTTTGTTTGTTTGTTTGTTTGTTTGTTTGTTTTGTTGCAGTTTGGCCGGGGCCAAATATTTTCTAACATGAACTGAGCCCCCAAGAAATCTTAATTTCCTCTCTAATTTTTCTAGTTTGCTGCATTCATTCTTTAAGTCTCAGTAAGAAACTTTGAGGAGTTCAAGACCAGTCTAAACAAGAGACCTCATCTCTACTAAAAACAGAAAAACTAGTCACGAATGGTGGCACACGCCTGTAGCCCCAGGACTCAGGAGGCTGAGGCAAGAGGATCACTTGAGTCCAGGAGTTTGAGGTTTTGTGAGCTATGACGACTCCATGGCGCCCTACCCGGGACAAAAGAGGGACAAATAACCCACCTTCTCAGAGTGTGTGTTAAATGTTTTTGAACAAGTCTGGCCAGGCCTCTCTGGTTAAGTTTATTCTTTTGTGAATAAAGAATGAAAAAACTCAAAAACTTATAAAAATTTTTACAATTTTTACCAGTTGCTAAAAAACATTTAGACTTGAGGTAGAAATGCTGTTACAGAGCTAGCCCTGTGAAAATGACTTCTTAAACTGTCTACCAACTCTTGCTTCCTAGACAACCAAATGATGAGTGGATTCTCTAGATGGAAAACCTGTAGTCTAGGTCTGTATCTCTATGTATCACCTGAATCCTTACCTTTCACAAATATTCTGTTATTTCCCTGCAATTAGCTACTTTCTAAGTCAGCAGCTATCATTTCCTTTCTTCTTCTCCCTCTCCTCTCCTCCCTTCCCTATAGGTAGCATTTACTTCACACTTTCCTACGAGGCATGAAGGTTTTCACTGGTCTCAGAATATCCATAGGAAGCAACTACGACACAAACTGGTGAAATAACTCCATATAGTTTCACTCATCAAAGGAGTGCCCTAGCTAAGCCTTTTCCCAAGACTGAAGCACCAAATATTAACCATGTGAACAAGGCAGCACTCTTATGAGAACGTTAGTGCTTAGGAGCAAAATCAAAGTAGGGATGAGGTACAATAGTAAATCCAAGTCTTAACTTTCAAAAGTAGGTGGATTTACAGACCAGGGCATTAATAACATTCCTGCATTTATTAAAAAGGTTAAGTTCTGTATTTAAATTAGATTTCCACCTATTAAGCCCTCAATCTCCTCCTTTACCATGATTTTATAGCCTTGACGTTGGTTAATTAACACTTACATGATACTACCCTATAAAAGTCCAATTTTTACTTAACATAGAAAAACCCAAATTTAAAATACAGGGACATACCTCCTTTTATATTTAAACACATGAAAGAATGAGCATTCAAAAATACTACACAATGAAAATCATGTGCTCTAGAAAATTTCCCTAAATTTAAAAAGTTTAAAGGTACCTTTCAGTATCTGAGCTAAATGAATTAACATAATTTTACCAGTGATTTTCTCTCAGTAAAGAAACCACAAACTTTTAGAGCTCTAAGAAACATCAGAAACCATTAGGTACAACTCCATGTTAGAGATGAGAAATTTTATAAGTTCAGTGATTGTAAAATTCTATGGCTGGTTAATTTTGGGTATGGGTTTTGGTTCCTGACTCCTGCTAAATTCTTGTAGATGGAAGATACTTAACTTGTCAACATCAAAATTAAAGACAAAAAAATCAAAAGTCAGAATTGCTCTTACCACATACATATATGAATGACATTACACAGAAGCTGTTTCAACTTGAGTATTTTCCACTATAAATTCTTAACCTGTGACTCACCCTGCTGAGTTGATCCAATAACCTTTGGTTCTGTTCTGATAGTTCTTGGACAGCACGCGTTTTTTCTCGATCTGCTTCCCGCAGATGAACTTGCTGCCTCTCTAACTCATCTTGTAGCTGTTTCACATCACTCTCCAGCTCTGACACTCGCCCTTCCCACTCCCCTTCTCGGTTCTCAAATCGTCTTCTCAATTCATGTTTCTCTTGTTCTAAGTGCTGGGTGAAAAGTAAAGAAGAATTAAATACTGTTAAAAATTCCACACTCTACTAACTTTTCTTTTTTCTAGTCAGTCAGCACAGTAAAATGCCCTGCAACACAGGAGAAGTTGCTCAATACACAGCTACAAAAATACTCCCTTCTTCCAGAGCAGGGAAGGAGTTGGTTTCACAAGGAGAATACTATTCTTACTGAATATACTCAGTTAAATGTTCCTTCTTATCTTGGGGTGTGAGGTTCTAGATTCGAGAATTCACTTGAAATTTAACAAGTCATCTAATCAATCAAATATACATTTAAACAACTAAAAATGACTCCCATAACCAGAATGCTTATTACTTTTTAAAAGGAGGCTTCTTTTGGAATTATCTATCATGCACTGTGCAATACCAGACTTTTACAATAATAGAATATTTCAGAGATGAAAAGAACTCCAGTGATCCTTTAGATTAACCATCTCTTCCTATTCAAACGAGACAACAAAAGAAAATAAAAGGGAAGTTAAGTAACTAGCACAAGGGTTAGGACCAGAAAATGGCAGAACAGGGATTTATGTCTAAGTCACTTCACTCTGTTTAGTACTCTAAGTCATAGTTTAATAAATGTTTGTTGCCATATATAGCACCGTATTTCAAAATCATTAAAGCAAGTTTAGGTTTAGGACTTCAAATCACAACCTATTAATTAAGACTTCCATATTTCTTTCTGATCCATTCATTCAATCTTGAGTGCCTACCATGGGGCTAGGCACTGTCCTAGGGACATAATGATGAGCAAAATAGGCACAGTCCTTGCCTATATACAGAGTTTTTGATCTAGTGGGAGAGACTGATAAAAGTAATAAATTATGTGTAGAAAATAGTAAATAAAAAAGTACAGGTGGCATGAAGTAACAAAGAATCCCACTGGGGTGTTGCCCATAGCTCAGGCCAGCTAAACAACGACAACTACAACAAAAAAATAGCTAGGCATTGTGGCAGGAGCCTGTAGTCCCAGCTACTTGGGAGGCTGAGACAAGAGAACTGCTTAAGCCCAAGAGTTTGAGGTTGCTGTGAGCTGCCATGCCACAGCACTCTACTGAGAGTGACATAGTGAGACTCTATCTCCAAAAAAAAAAAAAAAAAGAATCCCATTGGATAGAAAGAAATAGGAATTTTCTTTTTGTTTCTGTGAGATAAACATGGATACTTCTTTTCAGTGTCAAATACGCTTTCCTACTCTAAAAGGATAGTATGTACAAGGCCAGGTGAGGTGGCTCATGCCTGTAATCCTAGCACTCTGGGAGGTGGAGGTGGATCTCTTGAGCTCAGGAGTTCGAGACTAGCCTGAGCAAGAGTGAGACTCTATCTCTACTAAAAATGAAAAACTGAGGCAAGAGGATCACTTGAGCCCAAGAGTTTGAGGTTACTGTGAACTGTGATGCCATTGCACTCTACCAAGGGCAACAAAGTGAGATTCTATCTCCAAAAAAGAAAAAAAAGCATAGTATGCTTTATATAAGCTAAGTCTATATGTCAAGGAGCATATGAAATCTGTTAAAATAATGACCTTCATATTGACACTTTTCTGGTGTAATTGTTCAAAATAAACCCACTTTAACCCCAATTCCTGAGATTGTGATTCACTTAAGAATGAATGAGGTCTAGGCATCTATGTAGGTATAATATCCATATACATTTTTTAAAAATGTATACATATATATATTTGGTTCTTCAGGAAACTGATACACTGAAAGTTGACAGCAAACACTGAGATTGTTTTGATACGCTAAAATGAGCATTTGAATCTCCTTGAGAATACTCAGTCATCTCTTTACCTGGGGAAACTGAACTCTTACTCTATTGAAGTTCTCACCTTTCAAAATATTTTTTTGAAATGCTTTTTTTGAAAAGTCTTAAGGGACAGCTTATACTCACATAAGAAAATCAGTCCCATTATTTCACATTTGGGGTATGTCTAAAACATGAGATTATCCCACTTCATCCTCCTTTCTTATTTCAATTACTTTGCTCTGAGTGACTTGTGAATGTTTCTGAAAGTCAAATTTACCTCCTAAAACATGAAAATTCACCATGATTGGGAGCAGTCAAAAGAACCTGCCAAAAGAATGGCAATCTAAAATTAAAGTTCTGAGCATATTACCAAAAGTAGTATTCACTGAAAACTCCCAAGTTGACCTTTTTTTTTTTTTGAGACAGAGCCCCAAGCTGTTACCCTGGATAGAGTACCGTGGCATCACAGCTCACAGCAACCTCCTGGACTCAAGTGAGGCTCCTGCCTCCGCCTCCCAAGTAGCTGGGACTAAAGGCCCCTGCCACAACACCTGGCTATTTTTTCGTTACAGCTGTCATTATTGTTTGGCAGGCTTGGGCTAGATTCAAACCCGCCAGCTCAGGTGTATGTGGCTGGCACCTTATCCCCTTGACCCACAGGCACAGAGCCCCAAGTTGACCTCTTTAAGATAACTCACTTGGATATAGCCCAGACATCTTCAAACTATGGCCCGTGGGCCACATTCAGCCCGCCTAAGACATTTATCCAGCCTGCCAGGTGTTTTTGCCCCTGCTGCCTGTCCTGCTTAGCAGCCAACTTGTCCTGGGGCCCGTAGTCCAGCCCTCCAACGGTCTGAGGGACAGTGAACTGGCCCCCTATTTAAAAAGTCTGAGGACCCCTGATATAGCCACTCTAATACATTTGATGAAAAAAATCATATTACTTTATACAGTTTCAGTTTGGAGCATATGGGTAAGAAATAAAAAGAGAAGACTTCTACTCATCAGTATGAGAACTTTTTGCTATACGCTTCCCTCATATTGTAAATTTCCAGAAAGACAGGATACAGAAACAAATGCAATCCTAAAATTGTGAACTTGGTTTTATGAAATTTTTCCAAAGTGAAAAAGACTGAGCAGAAGGCAACAGAAAAAACTCAGTAATCACAGTGTTACTGAGAGGCCAGATAAATTAGGCTTATGTTCTAAAAGAACAGAGAGACTTAAAAATATTCAGCAAACAGTTGTTAGTGAACAGCCAAACCAAGCAACTAAAACAATCTAATCCAATCCGATCCAATTGGGAGAGGAGTGTGAGGACAGGTGGTACTAGTCAGTCTATTCTGTCCTTACATTTCTTTGGACACGAGACAAACTTCCAATTTTCAGGTTTCCCAAACCTTTGACAAAATCAAAACTTGCCTATTAATGAAAGTACAGAATTGAGCCTTTGGTCTAATCTGAGAAAAGCAAAGTTTCTCCTAAACTGTAGTTTCAATTTAGTGCTAACTTTAACAGTAAACTTGAGATGCTCACAAAGTGTAGAGGTCAGGTTTTGCCTACGCTTTTCCCTGTGTCTCACGGTTATACAGCTAAGAAGAACCTAAGGAGACACAAAAACAAAATGTATGTGGTATGCTGGATGGAATACTGGAATACAAAAAGACATTAGGTAAAGGCTAAAGAAATATAAACTAAAGACTTTAGTCAGTAATTATGTACGCATATTGGCTCATTTATTATGGCAAACTTACAATTCTAATATGTTAATAGTAGAGGAAACTGGGTACAGGGTATATTCTGAGAGAATATACCCATACTATCTTCCCAGTTTTTCTGTAAATCTAAAAGCATTCTAAAAATAGTTTATTTAAAACTCAAAAAAAAAAAAAGGCAAAGAAATATCTTTGGCTTATATAAAAAAGATTTTTACAGAAATGGATTTCTGGAAAAGAAGAAACAAAATAAACAACAAAAAAACCCCAAAATGACACTGTTCTCTTAAGTCCAGGACCCAGGACTTGGTTCTTTAAGACACAAAGAAAAAAGTACTGCTCTTTAAGAGGATCAAGTACCGAATGCAACTCAGAACCCTTGGGTTTTCTTCTCTAACTCTACTAGTGATTCCCGTCATTATGTATTTCCATTTTTTTTTTCCCCTCTTAAAATCAATTCTCATTTGTGGCCTAGGGGAAAACAATAAAACTGAGAAAAGGGGCTAACTGTAGATGCAAAAGAAATAAATTTTGTTAAAATGCCTTCAGGTTTTTAAACTTCTGCAAATGTAGTTCAGTGAATGAGTAATAAAATACCCTGTATCAATTCACGGTGGAAAAAAATGACCAAAATCTTAGCTTATCCAGTTAACCTGAATCTTCATTTTAGTCCTAAGAGATGTATAGCTAAAAAGCCATTAAAGATTTTAAACAGCATTCCTTTAATGACAGAGTAGTGTAGAATAATGTACCTTACATTTTAAACAACAAAGCAAAATCTTGGGTTTGGCACACAGGACCAAAAAGGTATATACAACATTAACTAATGAATAGGTAGAAAAGATCTTGAAAATGGCTTGTTTGCCTGGAAGTTACGTGCCAATTCTGAAGTAGTAAAGAAGCAGATGGGACTAAAATAAAACCAGTCTCATTATTTAATAGTGAAGCTACCATTCTCTCAGAATCCGCTCACATGTTTATCTTTCAAATTAGCCTGCTAGAAATGTGTTTGATTCCAATGTCTGACAGTTTTTAGGAAATTATAAATGCTCCCCATCAAGTTTTCTCATGAATAAATGTTTCTTAAAGGATTGATTCTCTATCCCCAAGTGTTTAATTGAAAATACAGCAGGTGTGTTAAACTTTAGACAATACTGTGTCTAGACAGACATCCTAAAATCTAGAGTGTTCAAAAAATATACAATGGGGAAAACGCATGTGCAGGTATCAAATGAAATAGTCCGCTGTAAGTCAGGTTTGTCACTCTCATTAACAACTAAAGGAATTAAGCAACTAATAGCAACATCATTATGTCTTTTTTAATATACATTTAAAAACGTACACCTTTAATGATACTTTTCAAACATTTAATGATAATTTTCAAACATATCTAGAAGAAATAGTATAGCTGACCTCCTTCATCACTCATTTCAACAATAGTTGTCCTTAAAAAATAAACTTTAAAAAAAATTTTAAACTTTTTTTTTTTTTGAGACAGAGCCTCAAGCTGTCCCCCTGGGTGGCGTGCCATAACATCACAGCTCACAGCAACCTCCAACTCCTGGGCTCAAGTGAGTCTCCTACCTCAGCCTCCCAAGTAGCTGGGACCACAGGTGCCCACCACAACGCCCAGATATTTTTTGGTTGCAGCCATCATTGTTGTTTGGCAGCCCGGGCTGGATTCGAACCCGCACCTTAGGTGTATGTGGCTGGAGCCTTAGCCACTTGAGCCACAGGCACCGAGCCTACTTTTTTAATTATAGTAAAGCACATGTAAGAAACAATTACCATCTTAACCATTTTTAAGCATACAGGTCAGTAGTGTTAAGTACATTTATGCACTTGTGCAATTAATTTCCAGAACTTAAAAATAAACTTTTAAAACTACAATTCATATGCTAACCTGACAAAAAGTGATGATTTTAAAAGAATAGTTTAAGAGTTTTAAACTATTATGGTTATTCTCCATCAAGTAAATAAGAAAAATGTCAAATTTATTCTTTTACAACATAAACTTTGTTATAGAATTTGGAAATCTTTTTCCTTTGTTGAAGAGATGTATAAAAGCTCCACATGGAACCCAGGATGTGTGTAACTGCACACTCAGGATTACTATGAAATCTATCACTAATCAAACTGATACGATGTTCCTTTCAAGTTAGCTGCCTTTTCAATCAAGTCCCTCACTGAAGGAATTTCAAATCACAAGTTTAAATCTCTGCAGTAGTGCTTCTTTACAAAGTCCTGTAATTGAATTCCCTTAGTTAAAAAAAAAAAAAAGACAGCCTTTTTTATTTCTAGAGCTCTACTTCAAGTGAAAATTAAACAATTCAATTCATTAGGTTGCTTTTTGGCAGTCTACCTACAGGTTTCACAAACGACTTTTCAGAAAGGTATCTCAGAGGTTCATCAACTGGCGGACCTAGTTAACAGGGCAACTGAACTATAGGGCACTCACCAGTTTCCTTTTTACCCCCTATTTACTTTTATGTCATTGGACTACAGACACACTCAAATCTTATTACAGAAATGTTTCTGGATTTACAGTTTGACTATTCAACCAGTAGCAGTGATTGAACCTGATTAGGATCAATTTCAAACTTTTTTCAGGTCTGTATTATTCTCTTGTAACTAAGAATAAAAAGAACTGGTTGCAATCAAACGGGGTAACAGTAAACACACAGGCAGAAAAGGATAGCTCATCTTCACTATCACAAGTGACTCCCCCTTTTTTGCACTCTCTCTACGATTTTTAGAATGCTGGTGTTCTGTACTGCATTCAAGGCCTTTCTAGTTAAGGGCAGAAAACAGACATTGATTCAAGAAATTGGCAGAAATACTACAGATACTTCCAGAGGTATTTGTAAAAGAAGTTAAAGTAATATGGTTCCCAAAGGTTGCATTTGGTTATCTAACTACAAGTCTGAGATCTAAAACACAGGTCTAAATATATGAGTAGTGTTAAAATACACATAAATATTGAGGCCCAAGGTAAATCTACTACAGTGGTCACACATTGAGCCTTGGCTCGCCTGGTTTCCTGCAGTGGAACCACACTTCCTAATCCCCGAGTATTTGAAGGCTATATAAAGCTCTTTTAAGGGGCACTTGTTCCCACAACTTTGAGCTGCCAGTAAGTTAAGACAAGGGCGTCTAGAGGCGTCAACGCCAAAACTGGAAAGCTTTAGGCTAACACCGTGATTAGAGATTAACTACTTCTCTGAAAACCTGAAGCCTATTTTAAATGCTTCCCGACTTTCTCATTTGTGTGTGCAGACATTACCTAGTGCTGTATAAATTAGTCACACTGTAAGCTCTATTTTAGATGCTGTTTACAGTACATATATAGAACGGCCCACAGTGGATGGAGCTGTGCATGGACCGATTTACTGTGAGCAGACTGGGGAAGTCAGGTGGATTAAATGAATGCCCTGATCTAATAATCAGAAACCATCCATGCTACCCCCTATGCGTTCCAGGCGGTTTTCTGTGAGGTAGGATGAGCAAGGGAGAGGGAGGTGCGTCGCTCCCCAAACTGCCCAGGGCCAGGCGGGTGCCTGGGCTGCACCTACTTTCCACCCCATCCCAGGAGGGAGGTCCTCACCTCCAGCTTATCTGTCAGCTCCTTGTGCATCTGCTCGTACTGCCGGCTCATGTCCTGGTTCCTCTCGAGCAGCGCCTTGCCCAGCCGGGCTGCCAACACCAGATCCTTCTCCTTCTGCCGGATCACCGACAACAGCTCGGGGTCCTGGGCGGGCGGTGGCTGCCGTCCGGCCCCCTCAGCTGCAGGCCCTGGCTCGGCCTGAGGATGCTCCCCGGGATCGGACGACCGCTCCCCGGCCGCCAGCAGCGCCAGCTCCTCCTCTAACGCCAGTTCCAGTTCCTCCGGGCCCCCGGGGAAGGAGACGAGAGCGGCGGCGGCGGCAGAACTCCGGACTGCGTCCCCGGCCGCAGCGGGCAGCTCCATGCAGCAGGCGCTGTCCGGCTCGGCGGGTGCTGAAGCGCGGCCAGCCAAGCCCAGGCAAAAGGCGGACATGGCCCGCGCGCGCGGAGCCCGCAGCGGTGCGGCCCGGCC